ATATATATATATATACACACATACTTATAAGAATAATATTTTTAACCTGTATAACACCACTTCAACTGACACTTATCAATGTGGAGGAGCAGCGGTTCTACTCCCAGCTCTACCCGGATGACAGAACTCCTCACCCTGTCTCCAAGGCTGAGCCCTTCCACCCTACAAAGGAAGCCAATTTTGTCCCCTTTTTATCTTGAATCTTGTTCTTTCAGAAATGACCCATGCCTCATGAATACTGGTGAAGGTTGAAACATACAGACCAGTAAACTGAGAGCTTTACCTTTCGACTCAACTCATTCTTCCACAACTGATGGAAGCAATGCCCTCATAAATGATGAGGCCCCAATCATCCATCTCCCGCCCAATCCTACATCAGTCCTGAACAAGACACCCAGATACTTACACTCCTGCACTTGAGGCAGAGACTCTCCCCCGACTCGGAGGGGGTATTCCACCCTTTTCTGGTCGAGAGCCATGGCCTCAGACTTACACTCAGTTGTGAACTGCCACAGTTCTCGGTGCGTCCCAACAGAACCACATAATCTGTTTACAGCAGAGATGAGACCCTGTGGTTCCCAAACCAGACACCCTCCTCTCCATGACCTGTCAATAAGCACAACTAGCAGGATTGTAACCAACTCATTTAAACAGCTTAGAGACACTGTCATGAAGGATTTTAATATGTCATCATTACTACATGCAGCACAAAGCTAAATATGGGAAGGTTACTGAAGTAAAGAAGGCAGTCTGTAGTCGCTACTAGAAGTTTCTTGTTTTGTGGGAGGAGTTTGTCCAAGACATGATTGGTCTGTTTGACTTTTGTGGGCGTGGCTTATTAAAGACATGATTGGTTGGATTTGCTCTTTTGGGTGGGGTTTGAAGAAGCTGGGAGTAGCTTGGTGGAAACGACCAGGAAGTATCTATATTTTCTAAATGTAAATATTAGTCATAACTTGAGACAGGAAGGTGCTTGCCACACAAAACCTGAAGTCAATAAATTGTATTTAAATGTTCACAATAACTTTACTATTACCATTACTTCCTCCTCTAAACCAGTGTTTCCCAAAGTTGGGGTCGGGACCCAAAGTGGGGTCCTGAAACATCAAGGTGGGGTCCTGAAAAGATTTTCT